AAATAGACCCCTCCGTCAACATTAGATCCTTCTCAGCAGCAACTACCCCCTCCCCGCAACAATAGATCCTCCATTGACAATAGATCTCCCATCAGCCAGCAACAACAGACGCTCCAGCACATCCCATCATCACATACACTCAGTGCTGGAGGTGCCCAAACCGCATCCACTGCATTCCTGCTAAAAAGATACCCAGCGTAGGGGAGCATTCCTTAGTATGGTGCCCCATGAATGGGTTCTGCCACTTGAATGGGCCAGGTAGCTCCTTCTCTTTGGCGTAGAAGAGAAATGACGTAAATGCACAATGGGAATAAATGCCGGACTCTCATTCTTCATAACCTGCCGACCTCTGACCTTTGAGCATCTACTCAGAAGTCCCACTCTTGAGCAAGGGCAGTGGTAGCATGTCAGGACTTTCCATCCCGATGAGCATCTGAAGCAGATATGAACATCAGATATCTGTTCTCCTTCCAGCACACAGATTTAATGGCAAAAGAACATCAGCAGCCGCTGCCGAGCCCATCATACTGTAGACAGGATTGTATTGTAGAGGTCGGGTAGACGGGCAGAGGCCATTCGGATGGCCTCACATCCCTTTTGTGCCTGCTGATGTTTCTCGGCTCCAACACAATAGGCTTTGTGACAACGGTACATCGAATGTCTCCAGACAGAAATGGAGTTCTTAACAAACCTGTAGATATCCCGCTGTGCCGTTCAGTAGAGAGAGCCCTACTTTCTGCTTTTATGTGTTCAGCTGAAAATCTGGTTAAATGTACAATAACGGCATAATCTGTGTGATTCCAACATTAGATCACGTTGGGGGACGCGGCAAAATGGGAAGATTTTTATGCTGTGATCATGAAAGTGGCATGTGCTGTCTTTTCAGGAGGAAAAGCTCGTCTCAACAGTAAAAAAGGAAAGATTTTGAATGATAGGATACGCTGAATACTTCACTATGAAGGTGTCTGATGTTTTATGTTGAGGAACATTGTACCATAGTAGTATCTGTGTGAAAACTGATGGAACTCTTCTGTAACATTTCTCTGATATCTAATGAAGCACCACCCCCGCAGGAGTTGCTGAAGGTTTGGGTCCCTCTATAGTCCTGCACAGCCAGACAACACGCATTTCTCACAGACTTGCATCCAGGAGTCCAAAATCAATCCTTGAGCTTGTTTTTTTTTATATATTTTATTAGATATCAACTTGGATGGGGAAAGGAGTATAACGGAACTGGACCACGACTGCACTCGGGTATTTCCGTTAGACTCCCGCTTCCCTGTCCGAACACAGATCCACGGACCCCACCGCTGGCCATACAGGACGAGGCAGCAACAGACGTGTCTTAAAACAGGAAATAGACAGCTTTATTTTAACATAGACACAAGATATATACACAGGGCGGGGAAATACACCCCGTAACAGGAAACACATCAGCAGGCCGTCCCATCAGGGGGAAGGGCTGCCGGAAACACCCCCCACCAAGCCAATGCACAAAGACATGCATCCCATAATAGTTTTCTCCCATACCAGACACAATAGAACAATGGGACCACGTGGCAGTAAACAATGAACAACCCCCCCACCCCACCTATACATGTCTACACAATATCAGGACATTTCACCCTGTACCCCTAACAGGCACAGGGTGACTTACACATAATAGGGATATGGGGAGCTGAGACAGGGGTCTCCCCACCTCTCCAAAAGGGGCTGTGTTCCATGGGCCCCCCACCCAAAGTGAGCTGTGTTCCATGGGCACCCCACCCAAAGTGAGCTGTGTTTCATGGGCCCCCCACCCAACGTGACTCCCGTCACAAAGAGTATATGAGATGCCCAATGGAACAGATGAGCTGGAACTATTTACAAGTCCACTGCAACACAGCCTCTGTTGTAGATCTAGCCAGCATCTCCCAATGTACCTCTCCAGACCCCAAATATTCCTCAGTCTGGCTGCCTGAAGGAAATGCCTGGACAGGGGATTTGGTTCTGCCACTTTAAAAGAAAGACAGCCCCAGCAGGTTTGCTAATCTGGTTTCCCACCTGATGGCTCCTTCCCCTATCTGGCCCAGTGGGTGTAGGTTCACTTACTTGTCCCTCTACTGTGTTGCTATTGATTCGGTGGCTGCTACCAGGCCTTCTAGCTGGGCTGCTCCTACTCTACTGCACAGGTGGTCCTCTCTAAGGGGGTTGGTGAAGGTGTCCAGCTCCCCCGCCTGTAGGTGAGCCCCTCTCCCATCTGGGCCCCGTCCCAAGCTCCTGAACTTCAGCCTACTTCTCCATCTTCCACCCAAACCCTCCAGCAGCTGAACAGGCTCTCTCACTTTTAAGGGTTGTCCTGGCCCTTTGCCAAGCCTCCTGTTAGGGATTGGCCAGGATCCCTCAAGTGTACAAGCCAGCCATTCCTCAGATCTATCCACTGCTTCTAGTCCTTTCTCCAAAGTTCTAGAGCAGGGGTAAATTCCATAGAGGCTGGCCTGAATAGCCACTCAGTTCTGACCCAAATGTAACCTCCCTCTGACTGTTGCACATGGGCTGCTGCTCAGCCCCTGTCTAACAATTAAAGCTAGAGCCCCCCCTACCTAACTAGGAGGGTGTTACACTAAAATTTTCAGCACAAACAAAACCTCATACATGAGACCAAAGGAACCCACGTAAAATGAGGACATTGTAATTACACTAAGAAGGCCATCCCAAAGTAGAAGGGGTCTGCTCTATACACACCTATCACCAACAGTGTGTGGACACCTGACCATCATTACTACCTAACTTTATGACGAACATTATGAGGACATCTGACTATGACACCTACCTATATGGTCAACAGTATGTGGACACCTGACTCTCACACCTACATGTATGGCCAACATTATGTAGACCCCTGACCATTACACCTACCTATCTGGCCAACAGTATGTGAATACCTGACCATCATATCTACATATAAGGCCAACAGTATGTGGACACCTGACCCTCACACCTGCCTATATGGTCAACATTGTGTGGAGCCCTAATCATCACACCTAATTATGCTGCCAGCAGGATGTAGACATCTGACCATAACGCCTACCTATATGATCAACATTATGCAGACATCTGACCATCACACCTACCTATATGGCCAGTAGTATGTGGACCCCTGACCATCATACATTCCTATATGGTCAACATTATGTGAATATCTGAACATCACACCTACTTGTATGGTCAACAATATGTGGACACCTGACCATCACACTGACCTATCTGGCCAACAGCATGTGGACACCTGACCATCACAATTACCTAGATGACCAGCAGCATGTGGACACCTGACCATCACACTGACCTATCTGGCCAACAGCATGTGGACACCTGACCATCACAATTACCTAGATGACCAGCAGCATGTGGACCTCTGACCATTGCATCTACCTGGTATATGACAAAGAGTATGTAGACCTGACCATCACACTGACCTATCTGGCCAACAGCATGTGGACAGCGGACCATCACAATTACCTAGATGACCATCAGCATGTGGACCCCTGACCATCACACTGACCTATCTGGCCAACAGCATGTGGACACCTGACCATCACAATTACCTAGATGACCAGCAGCATGTGGACCCCTGACCATTGCATCTACCTGGTATATGACAAACAGTATGTAGACCTGACCATCACATCTACGTGGCCAAAAGAATGTGGACATGCCTCCAGATGATTGACTATGATAGATGGCTGTCTCCAGTGAAGGCTAATATTAATGCTTACACTGTATGGCACACAGTTTGTGGACACCTGACCATCCACCTATCTATACGGCCAACGTATGTGGACATCTGACTATCACACCTACCTATACGGCCAACGGTATGTGGACATCTGACTATCACACCTACCTATACGGCCAACAGTATGTGGACATCTGACTATCACACCTACCTGTAAGGCCATTGGTATGTGGACACCTGACCATCCCACCTGTCTATATGGCCAACAGTATGTGGACACCTGACGATCACATCTACCTATATGACTAACATCATGTGGACCCCTAGCCATCAAATATGGCCAGCGATGTTACCTCCATCTTTTCCAGCCATGGAAGCCAATGTGCTGGTAACATTGGCAACTGCTAAGCATGCAGCACCTGGGGCTTCCCTAGGAACCTTTGACAGAGGGAAATCATATATAAAAGCGGTAGAAATACTGCCTCTACTTATATATGGTGCTTGGCTCCTACCAAATTTGGGGGGGCGGGGGGAGGGGCAAAATTTCCAGCATTCATCAGAACGTTCAAACAGCCAGCCTAGCTTCAAACCAAACTGCTGGCTCACCACTAGTGTTCAGATTTCAAGTTCTTGGTTTTTGCCGATTTGCTGGACTGTGAACCATACTGCCCGCCAATCCAACACAGGCGAATTCACACTTCAAATAAAAGTATAAAAAGTCAATAATTGTTGGTAGTAAATGTTCAAGAAAACAACAAACAGAAATATTACAGTGAGAAGAAGCGTTTCTGCCACATTTAATGCTGTTTGCAAAGTGTCAGCGCCGGCGCAGCGCCGGGAGGTGCTCTTTAACACACCGTGTTTGTAGCCTGACAACAGAGAGGGAGAAAATTAAATGCAGAGGTAATGAAATTTCAGAAGACATTTCACCTGTTTAAATACGACTCAGACAGCTCAATCCTGAGGGACAGAAACTCATTTTGTTACTATCCGCCAATATTTCTTGTGAAAGTGCAATCACACCCACATAGGACGAGGCAGGAATGAATAGAATGTCATGAAATATCATATATAATTACACCTGCACCTGCAAAAACTCCAAAACACCCAACAGGCTGAAAATTCTCACATTCTCACACAGAGAATTGCTGCTTGAATTTCAGACGCCATTTTCTATGCGGCGGCGCGGCTTACAGCTGAATGCCAGAAAATAGGAAAATACGCAGATAAAATACATATATTCCTTCATTATATGGTTCTGCCCCAGGAACAGAATGAACATGTCCTGAAAGCTGACTTCCTCCTCCCCTTCAGTCTTGGCAGGTGTACCGGCTCCTCCCCTTCAGTCTTGGCAGGTGTACCGGCTCCTCCCCTTCAGTCTTGGCAGGTGTACCGGCTCCGGCTCCTCCCCTTCAGTCTTGGCAGGTGTACCGGCTCCTCCCCTTCAGTCTTGGCAGGTGTACCGGCTCCTCCCCTTCAGTCTTGCACAGGTGTACCGGCTCCTCCCCTTCAGTCTTGCACAGGTGTACCGGCTCCTCCCCTTCAGTCTTGCACAGGTGTACCGGCTCCTCCCCCTTCAGTCTTGCACAGGTGTACCGGCTCCTCCCCTTCAGTCTTGCACAGGTGTTGTACCAGCTCCTCCCTTCAGTCTTGCGCAGGTGTACCGGCTCCTCCCCTCAGTACAGACCTCCCCTTCCACGGTACAGACCAACCTCCCCAAAACATAACACACCTGTACAGACCCCTCAGTATAGACAACCCCCTCCTTAGAACAGATCCCTCAGTACAGACCCCTTCCCATATACAAACCCCCCTCCTCAGTACAGACTCTTCAGTACTTAGACAGTCACCCCTCCCCAGTACAGACCCCTCGGAACAGTTACCCCCCAGTACAGACCCCCCCCCCTAGAATCCCCAGTACAGAATTCCAACTATGTCTCTACTGGGGGGGGTTGTACTGAAGAGGAGTTGACTGTCCTGAGGGGTCTGTACTGGGGAAGAGAATCTGTAGTAGGGGGTCATGGGGTCTGTACTGAGGACGGTGATCTGTACTGAGGGGTTTGTACTGGGGAGGGGTGCCTGTACTGGGGTGGGGTGCCTGTACTGGGGAGAGGTAACTGTCCTGAGGAGTTTGTACTGGGGAGGGGTGGCTGTACTGGGGAGGGGGTTTTGTACTGGGAAGGGAAATCTGTACTAGGGGGAATTTTCCTGAAAGGTCTGTACTTGTGAGAGGGGGGGGGGGATCTGCACTGGGGAGGGAAATCTGTTCTTGTGGGTGACTGCCCTGAGGGGTCTGTACAGGGGAGGGGTTACTGTCCTGAGGAGTCTGTACTGGGGAGGGGTTACTGTACATGGGGGGGGGGGGGATTCTTATTGGTGATGACTGTCCTGAGTAGTCTGTACTCGGAAGGGGAATCTGTGTTTGAGAGGATTGTCCTGGGAGGTCTCTACTGGGGATGGGAACTTTACTGGGGTGGCTGTTGTGAGGGGTCTGTACTGGGGAGGGGGTCTGTATTGGGAGGGGGGTCTGTACTAGGGGGGTAACTAGGGGTCTCTACTGTCCTGAGAGGTCTGTCTCTACTGTAGATGGAACTTTACTGTGGTGGCTGTTGTGAGGGGTCTGTACTGGGGGTAGGGGGTCTATATTTGGGTGTTGGGGGGTCTGTACTAGGGGGTAACTGTCCTGAGGGGTCTGTACTGGGAAAGTGTGGCGGTACTTGGGATGGGTTTTTGTATTGGGGAGGGGAATCTTTACTGGTGATTACTGTCCTGAGTAGTCTGTACTGGGGAGGGGAATCTGTATTGGGGAGGATTGTCCTGAGAGGTCTCTACTGGGGATGGGAACTTTACTGGGGTTGCTGTCGTGAGGGGTCTGTACTGGGGAGGGGGCCTGTATTGGGGAGGGGGGTCTGTACTAGGGGGTAAACTGTCCTGAGAGGTCTCTACTGCAGATGGGAACTTTACTGGGGTGGCTGTTGTGAGGGGTCTGTACTGGGGAGGGGGTCTATATCAGGGCGGGGGTCTGTACTAGGGGGTAGCTGTCCTGAGGGGTCTGTACTGGGGGGGTGGCTGTACTGACAAGGGGAATCTGTACTGGGGATGACTGTTGGGGAGGATTGTCCTGAGAGGTCTCTACTGTAGATGGGAACTTTACTGGGGTGGCTGTCATGAGGGTCTGTACTGGGGAGGGGGTCTGTATTGGGGAGGGGGGTCTGTACTAGGGGTAACTGTCCTGAGGGGTCTGTACTGAGGATGGGGATCTGTACTGGGGAGGGGTGGCTGTCCTAAGAGGTTCTGTAAAATTTGGCCACAACCAAAATGTATTTCAGAACATTTTGGTGGTGTTGGTGGTGATGGGGGGGGGGGGGATTACCTGGGTGCCACATATCCTGAGTCCACTGCATAGACCCCATTGCACAGCAGTGCTGTGTTTGTGGGTTTGTGGGTGAGGGGGGGGGGGGGGGGGGGGGGGCAACAGACCAGAGAAATGTGCGGATGAGAGATGTTTTCCTGTTTTCTGACCTGAAGAGATTCTTATGACTCTTCCCACCAAACTCAAACCAGGGGTGGACTGACAACTCATGGGGCTCCTGGGCAATAGGGGATCAAGGGGCCCCTGTGTCCTTGCCCAAACTCAAAAAAAGCCTATGAAGAAGGTACCAGGGGCATCTCATGGGGCCCCCTACTGACCGAGTGCCCGAGTTTTCAAATGGTCAGTCCGCCCCTGCCTCAGACCTTCTCCCTCCAACCTTGTTTTTCTGGATTCACCAGGTGACCAGACGGTGATGTGATGATGTCCTGAGTCTGTCCATCCGAATATTTGATTCTGCTCTTGTAGAGCCCACCTGCCCGAGCAGTGTCGTTATTTCCTATACATGGAACCCTCAGCTACAATGAAATGTTGGGTTGAGTCGCGGCCTCCCGGCGTCTTCTCTGCCCTTTAGTGTAAAGAAGGATTTCCGTGTTGGCGGTTCTGTCACTGCGACTCTATCATCCGAACACAAAGGTCAGACGTCATCCTGCTGCATCTTCTGAGCCAGAGAAATGTCCATGTATGCCCCACGACCTTGTCTGACATTTCTCCATCGTGCCGAGAAGTCTTCAATCCGGAGAAAAAGAACAGAATACAATTTACGTGTAATAAACGACGCCGATCTACACCCCGCGCCAATGTCGGATCCCATCGGCTGCGTTTGTTTACAGATATTCAACTTGCATTAAGAGGACTAATGATTATTGAGATAGAAAAGGATGGCGGACACCCCGGACCTCCTACATGAACCGCCTTTGTAAATGGAAGTGTGTGATGGAAGCTGCTGTGTATGTAAAGTCCTTGTTGTTGTTGTTGTTGTTGTTGTTGTTGTTGTTATGCTGTTATGCTAGTTAGATGGTTAGAGCAGCGAATGACTAACCAGCCGGGACATCCGATGTGCTACAGGAAAGCTTCATGGAAGTACATTGCATCCTACTGCCCCACCCCCGCACCTCCCCCACCCCCATTTGCACTTGACAGCAATGCCGAAATTTCAAATGATAGCTGTAGTTTCTAGCTTGTTGATAGTTGATGTGTATCATTGACTGCTGTCAAAAACATTGTTTATAAACATCGATCAGAGGGGAGATGGAGAGATACAAAGTAACATTGTTTATAAACATCGATCAGACGGGAGATAGAGATACAAAAAGTAACATTGTTTATAAACATCGATCAGACGGGGATGGAGAGATACAAAGTAACATTGTTTATAAACATCGATCAGACGGGGGATAGAGAGATACAAAGTAACATTGTTTATAAACATCGATCAGACGGGAGATAGAGATACAAAGTAACATTGTTTATAAACATCGATCAGACGGGAGATAGAGAGATACAAAGTAACATTGTTTATAAACATCGATCAGACGGGAGATAGAGATACAAAGTAACATTGTTTATAAACATCGATCAGACGGGAGATGGAGAGATACAAAGTAACATTGTTTATAAACATCGATCAGATGGGGGATAGAGAGATACAAAGTAACATTGTTTATAAACATCGATCAGACGGGAGATAGAGAGATACAAAGTAACATTGTTTATAAACATCGATCAGACGGGAGATAGAGATACAAAGTAACATTGTTTATAAACATCGATCAGACGGGAGATGGAGAGATACAAAGTAACATTGTTTATAAATATCGCTCAGACGGGAGATAGAGATACAAAGTAACATTGTTTATAAACATCGATCAGACGGGAGATAGAGATACAAAGTAACATTGTTTATAAACATCGATCAGACAGGAGATAGAGATACAAAGTAACATTGTTTATAAACATCGATCAGAGGGGAGATAGAGAGATACAAAGTAACATTGTTTATAAACATCGATCAGACGGGGGATAGAGAGATACAAAGTAACGTTGTTTATAAACATCGATCAGAGGAAGGGATCTCCAGCAGAGCAGAGTATTTCAGGAGAGGAGTTATAGAGGAAGGAGAGGAGTCCTCCAGCAGTGCAGAGTATTTCAGGAGAGGAGTTATAGAGGAAGGAGAGGAGTCCTCCAGCAGTGCAGAGTATTTCAGGAGAGGAGAGTTATAGAGGAAGGAGCGGAGTCCTCCAGCAGTGCAGAGTATTTCAGGAGAGGAGAGTTATAGAGGAAGGAGCGGAGTCCTCCAGCAGAGCAGAGTATTTCAGGAGAGGAGTTATAGAGGAGAGGAGTCCTCCAGAGGAGTTATAGAGGAAGGAGCGGAGTCCTCCAGCAGTGCAGAGTATTTCAGGAGAGGAGTTATAGAGGAAGGAGAGAGAGTCCTCCAGCAGTGCAGAGTATTTCAGGAGAGGAGTTTATAGAGGAAGGAGAGGAGTCCTCCAGCAGTGCAGAGTATTTCAGGAGAGGAGAGATATAGAGGAAGGAGAGGAGTCCTCCAGCAGGGCAGAGTATTTCAGGAGAGGAGTTATAGAGGAAGGAGCGGAGTCCTCCAGCAGAGCAGAGTATTTCAGGAGAGGAGTTATAGAGGAAGGAGAGGAGTTATAGAGGAAGGAGCGGAGTACTCCGGCAGTGCAGAGTATTTCAGGAGAGGAGTTATAGAGGAAGGAGAGGAGTCCTCCAGCAGAGCAGAGTATTTCAGGAGAGGAGTTATAGAGGAAGGAGAGGAGTCCTCCAGCAGAGCAGAGTATTTCAGGAGAGGAGAGTTATAGAGGAAGGAGAGGAGTCCTCCAGCAGAGCAGAGTATTTCAGGAGAGGAGAGTTATAGAGGAAGGAGCGGAGTCCTCCAGCAGTGCAGAGTATTTCAGGAGAGGAGAGTTATAGAGGAAGGAGAGGAGTCCTCCAGCAGAGCAGAGTATTTCAGGAGAGGAGGTTATAGAGGAAGGAGCGGAGTCCTCCAGCAGCGCAGAGTATTTCAGGAGAGGAGTTATAGAGGAAGGAGCGGAGTCCTCCGGCAGTGCAGAGTATTTCAGGAGAGGAGTTATAGAGGAAGGAGAGGAGTCCTCCAGCAGTGCAGAGTATTTCAGGAGAGGAGTTATAGAGGAAGGAGAGGAGTCCTCCAGCAGTGCAGAGTATTTCAGGAGAGGAGAGTTATAGAGGAAGGAGAGGAGTCCTCCAGCAGCGCAGAGTATTTCAGGAGAGGAGTTATAGAGGAAGGAGCGGAGTCCTCCAGCAGTGCAGAGTATTTCAGGAGAGGAGAGTTATAGAGGAAGGAGCGGAGTCCTCCAGCAGTGCAGAGTATTTCAGGAGAGGAGTTATAGAGGAAGGAGAGGAGTCCTCCAGCAGTGCAGAGTATTTCAGGAGAGGAGAGTTATAGAGGAAGGAGAGGAGTCCTCCAGCAGCGCAGAGTATTTCAGGAGAGGGAGTTTATAGAGGAAGGAGAGAGGAGTCCTCCAGCAGTGCAGAGTATTTCAGGAGCGGAGAGTTATAGAGGAAGGAGCGGAGTCCTCCAGCAGAGCAGAGTATTTCAGGAGAGGAGAGTTATAGAGGAAGGAGAG